ACACACACAGACACACACAGACACACACAGACACACACAGATACACACAGACACACACAGACACACAATACAGACACACACAGACACACACAGACAGACACACAGACACACACAGACACACACACACAGACACACACAGACACACAATAGTTGCTCTAGTTGTTGGTTCGTGCTAGTTTCTTCCCTGTTCGGACCAGTGCCTTAGTCAAGGATTCACAAGCAAAACTAGCACACAGCTGAATTCTGCATCATCCCCCAGTGTGTCTGCACGGAAAGGAAGGCCCTCAGGGCTCATACCTGTGCTAGCGCAGTCTCACTGTTACTGGAAGTACACTCCTGGACCGCCAGACACTAGACCAAGGCGAAACAATCCCTGAAATTTTGAAATTACTATTTTTTAGCCAAGAGCATCTGACTCCTTTTTGTTTGTTTGGTTGGTTGGGTTTTTGGCTGTTTTTTTTTTATTGTTGTTGTTGTTGTTTGTTTGTTTTTTTCCAAGACAGGGTTTCTCTGTGTAATAGCTCTGGCTGTCCTAGAACTCTCTTTGTAGACCAGGCTGGCCTCAAACTTACTGAGATCTACCTGTCTCTGCCTTCCAAGTGCAGGAATCGAAGGCGTGTGCCACCATGGCCCAGCAAGCATCTGACTCCTTATCAGTAAAACTGGCAAAATATTATCTGCTCTGTGAGTCTGAGAGCTGGCGCACAGCACATCATGTGACAGAAGAAACTTTTCAGACAGGTGTGGTGCTCACTCCTTGGGAGGCTGAAGTCAGAGAAAATCCAACATGAGGCTGCCTTTGGTAACAGAGTAAGACCTTGTCTCAAAAGAATCAAATAAGCAAGTAGGAAAAGATAGATAGGTGGCAGGGTAGTTCAGTGGGTAAAGCGACATAAACTGATCAATCCCAGGACCTACAGAAGCAGAAGAGAGAGCTGATTTCTGGGTGTGGTCCTCTGGCTTCCACAGCTGGGCAGTGACATGTGAGCCATCGTCCTTTTAACCCTGTGACTGCCTGTCTGCTCTCACAGGAAGAGAAAAGAAGGAAACGAGAATTATATTTTTAATCCCAGAACTCAGGAGGCAGAGACAGATGGATCTCTGTGAGTTTGAGGCCAACCTTTTCTACAAAGTGAACTCCAGAACAGGCTCCAAAGCTACAGAGAAACCCTGTCTTGAAAAAAAAAAAAAAGAGAGAGAAAGAAAAAACAAAATTAGAAATATCTCACAAGTTCAGTAATACCCTGCCTCAACAAATAAGCCCGGAAGACACAGTGAGATCCTTTTTCAAATAAACAAGATCTCACAACTTGTCATGAGATGACCCAGTTGTAACAAATTTGAGTCAACACCTCACACCTACCTCAAGGCTGTGGGCAGGGACACATCCAACACCTCACACCTACCTCAAGGCTACAGGCAGGGACACATCCAACACCTCACATCTACCTCAAGGCTGTAGGCAGGGACACATCCAACAAACACCTCACACCTACCTCAAGGCTGTAGGTAGGGACACATCCAAACCACTTTCTGTCGCAAACTGTGTATTGTGGCTCTGCTGAATAGCTTAAAGGAACAAACAGTTCTAAGTTAAAAGAGAATCCTCACATCTTCTCAACTTTCTTACATTGTTCCACCATCTCATAGTTCCCGTTCCTAAGAAGTCAGCTTTAAGCGAAACGTGAAGACAAATAGAATTTACTGGACATATCACTAGATAGTTCTTGCGTTTTGTCAGTTTTTGTTTTTGAGACAGGATCTTATGTAGCCCAGGCTGACAGTGACCTCAGGGACACTCCTGCGCTGAGATTGCAGGTGTGAACTCCCACACCAGGACAGCTTTCAAACTACACTCATATACTCACTATCAGGAGGCCGTCCTGGGCAATATGACTTCCTCACTCCAATTTCAAAAAGCAAAACAAAACATATAACCTGTAGTTATATGAAAATAATAAGACCCCAAACAAAAACAAACGTTTGGCTAATGCGTGGCAGTTTTCCTGCCCTGCGTCCCTGCGTGGGTTAGCAGGGTCCCCAGAGTGCTGCAGTGTGTGGCGTGATTCACAGATTCACATGACCGTGATTGTGCAACTAGCTGCTAGGAGGTGGAGGTCTGGTCCACAGGGTACGGGTTATTTACTGTCTGGGTAAGAAATAACTTGGGACCTCGAAATCAGAAGATAAACAAACCTAAATCCAGAGACTCTTACCCTCAGCCCGGAAGTGTAAGTTTCCACTCAACTTTCCTACAGTGGTTTCTTGCTGGAACTGGGAGGCTCTGCCAAACTACTTCTGCGACCCCTCTGTTGGTCTTTTGTTGCCAATCACGAGGGCGTGGGCCTCGAAGTAGTCCCCTATTGGCTGGAAGCCCTGCCATAAGTCTTCAACGTCCAATTAAGATTCACGGGTAGAAGAGTGCCACGCGGCTATGGGGTGGACGGGGCGGGGGCGCCTCCAAATATTGGCTTGGTTCTCTACCCTAAGATGGTTTCCCTTTTTTAAAGACTGTGGCTTCGAAACAGAAAGCTCAGGTATCCTGTGTGCTTGACACTCCCATCGCAGCTCTTTGCTGAGGAGAGACATCAAGCCCTCAACAAGATCTGTTAGCACTGGGGGGACCTGACGAAAGGGGCGTGGGTGCCTATAATTTTATTTCAGTTTGCATATGGGCAGCGCCTTAATCCTACTCTCAGAACCAGGTCGCGACAATGGCTCCTGGCCAGGTGCAACCCAGCTCCCCCTCCCCCAAACTCCATGGACAGCGTAGGCGGGACTTGGCTGGGCAGGACCAGGATACAAGATCCTGGAGGAAAGAAAAGGTGTAGTGTTTGGGACTTCAGCGGGCTAGGTTGCTTTGGCAGGGCAAAACTCTCCGAACAAAACCCAGGTAATACCGAGGGGGTTGTTTGCATGAGCCCGAAGTGAACTTTTGCGAGGGGCTCTGCATGTGAGCCGACGAGAGGAGTAACAGAGCCAGAAGCTTGGGACAGCCGCCTCCTACTTTCTATAACCACCCCACTACCTTCCTACAGAAGCATGGAGTCCGGGTGCCCTGAGTTGCTGGAGCCCCCAGAAGATATCTTCTCAACAGGATCCTTCCTGGAGCTGGGGCTCGACTGTCCTCCGTCAAAGGTTCTGATGGCTTAGGCTTCAAGATCAGGCAGGGCACGTGAGACTGGGAGATGAGGAGGCTGGGGCTGAGTGAGTTTGTTGAATCCAAGTGGGAATGAGGTTAAGCCTTAAATGGCTTCAGTTCCCACAAGGAAAGGGGTCTGCTAAGAGCCCACAAAATAGATATGAACTTTAACTATGTTCATACATACGTCTAAGAAGGAAAAACACCAAAATTGAAGCATAAAGGATGCAAGACTAACGTCAGGTAGGACTTTCAAAAATTTTCGCTACACTCACACTCTCCTTCTTTAGGGCCTTCAGAAGAGCGAACCTGACGATCTCCTGAACCTCTTCATTGATCCCAATATGGTATACTGCTCAGAGACAGCTCCTGCTAGTGACAGTGGTGTCTCGGAAGACCCTAGCTCTCCAGCCCCACAGGCGCCTGGCTCCCCCGCCCTCTATGAGGTTGTCTATGAGTCAGGGGGCTTGCAGAGCACTCAGCGGGAAGCGGGGCCGGCCTTCGGACTCATCTCCATCCAGATAGGTCAGTGTCCCTTTTGGGCCCAGCCCTGGCCGTGAGACTTAGGGGAGAAGGTCCCCAAACTGTGCCACTGCCCAGTCACTGCTGATTCCTCCCTGTCTCTCTATTGGCTTCAGAGCAGTGGAGCTCTGCATTCATGGCGCCTGAGACCTGCCCGGTCAGTGGGCTACCCTCTGATGCTCATAGACACATCCTGCCTAGAGCCAGCACGGTAGCCCCAGCAGCTCCTGACGCCCTGGTAAGTCATGAGACCAGCTTGAAAGGGTGCTCTTCAGAACACGTGTTCTTACATAAATGGGGGCACAGGGGAAAAGGGAGGGGAAACTAATGAGGAATAGGTTTGTCCCACTTTTGGTGCTGGTGGGTTTGAAGGCCAAGGAGAAACAAGCGATTCTAAGAACAGGGAAGCGTGGGGAGGAGAGCTATGGGATGGGGAGGGGCGAGAGTGATGAGGGAAGCTGCAGTCAGAGCTCTAGAGAAACATAGACATAGTGTGTACTTATACCAACAGAGCTGCTCTCAGCCTTGGGTCAGGAAAGGGAATTGGGACAGGACACCTGGGAATCCACCTGGCTAATGAGGACAGGGTGTTAGAGAAACAGTAGCAAGTGTTTGCAGTGGAACAATTGCCCTGTGACCAATGCTGCAGTGATGTGCCTTCTCCAGATGAGTTAACGCTCATGCCTGCTGGGCAGACCAATAGAGGCCAAATTCAGGCCATGTTCCTCTGTGTGCCTGAAGCTGGGACCAGAAGCCATGCTAGGGGTTTGTGTATCAGCACAGGACTTGTGCTTGTTTTATTTTTAGATAAAGCCCTCTGTGCTCCATTCTCAGAGAGTTTGGTTACAGAGATTGGAAGAAACACTCCACTAAAACACTTGGAGGAAAAAGGGGAGGACCAGGAAAGGAAATAGGAAATGGTTTAGCCAAGAGCCAAAGGCCATCAAAAAGCAAAAGCCAGAGGCTGAGATGGGTCTGTGAGAAAAAGCAATTGCTATGTGAGTATGAGGGCCTGAGCTGGGGGTTCAGATCCCCCAGCATCCACATAAACAGCTACAGATCCCTGACTCCATGCTCTGAGGGCTGAAACAGGAGGCTCCCTGGGCTTGCTCAGCACCAGCCTAGCTCCAGGACTGGTGAGAAACTCAGTCTCAGAGGAAGGGTGGAGGGTGCTAGAACAGGACACCTGTAGTGCCACTCTGGCCTCTAGTCACGTGTAGCACACCCGCACATACATGTGCAACTACATCTCTCTGACTCTCTTACACACACAAAGTAAAAAGACCAAACTAAATTATTCTCGTAAAAGTTATTTATTATTGTGTATACAAGTGAGGGAGAAGGACGGTACATCTGTGTCATGGCTCATGTGGAGGTCAGAGGACAACTCTGTGGCACCGGTTCTCTCCTTCCACCTCTACGTGGGTTCCAAAGATTAAACTCAGACTTTGAGTCTTGTGTGGCAAGTGCTTTATCTGCTGAGCCATCTTACCAGCTACAAACTAAGATAGTCTTAAGTGAAACGTAAGCTGGGTGTGGTGGCACACCAGAAATCTCTGCACTTGGGAGGCAGGGCAGGAAGAGGACCACAGACTCAAGGCCAGCCTAGTCTACTGGTGACTTCCTGTCTCAAAAACAAAAAAAACAAAAAAAACAATCCGGGGACTGGAGTGTTGGCTCAGTGGTTAAGAGCACTAGCTGCTTTGCCAGGGACCCAAGTTCAAGTCCTAGCTCACAACTGTCTACAACTCCAGTTCCAAGGGATCCAACATCCTCTTCTAGCTGGTATGAGCACCAGGCATGCAAGCAAACACCCACGCACATAAAATAAAAAATAATGATAAAACACTAAAACATAAAAAAAAAACCCAAAAAACAAAAATGGGCTGGAGAGATGGCTCAGCAGTTAAGAGCACTGGCTGCTCTTCCAGAGGACCCGGGTTCAAGTCCCAGCACCCACATGGCAGCTCACAACTGTCTGTTAACTTTGTTACAGGGGATCTGACTGACACCTTCAAATCAATGAATGTAAAATAAAATTAAACAAATTATTTAAAAACAAAAAACAACAACAACAAAAAAAAAACAGCACTCAGGAGGCAAAGGCAGGCAGATCTCAAGTTCCAGGTCACCCTGGTCTACAGAGCAAGTTCCATGACAGTCCATGACAGTCAAGACTATACAGAAAGACCCTATAAACCACCTCACCGCCCCCCCCAAAAAAGTGTAAATCTTTCATAAAGAAATACTAGGATCAGCAAGATGGCTTATTGGATAAAGGCATTAGCAGCCAAATCTGCCAACTTCAGTTTGATCCCAAGAACCCATATGGTGCAATAAAACTGCTACTGGAAATTATCTTTTTTTTTTTAAGTTGATTGGGGGAAGTACAGAAGGCCTCTGCCCAAGAACTCCATGGTTCTTATTTATTTATTTATTTATTTATTTATTTATTTATTATGTATACAATATTCTGTATGTGTGTATGTCTGCAGGCCAGAAGAGGGCACCAGATTACAGATGGTTGTGAGCCACCATGTGGTTGTTGGGAATTGAACTCAGGACCTTTGGAAGAGCAGACAGTGCTCTTAACCTCTGAGCCATCTCTCCAGCCCCTGGAAATTATCTTTTGACCTCCACACGTGCACTGGGCACGAGCTCGTCCACACAGATCGACACAAACACACACACACCATAAATGAATGGATGCCAGTGAGAAGGCAGGGTCCTCAGCTGATGGGCTCAGCTTAACCAGACACCATCTACCCTTCCCACACACCGCTTGAGAGGTCAGCCTAACTGTCCTTACAAGCTCCTTGTCTGGGAGTCACAGCTTGAACTGACAGTTGGAGCTTAGAACCTGATGAGTCACGCGTCCAAATATTTTACCAAATGTAAGGTAATAGCCAAATGATTTACCCGACAAGGAAATTCAACTAAGCCCATCATAGTGAACATACAAGCTCCCTTCTGAGTGCCCCACGGTCTGGGGAGACAGAGCAGAGCAGGCCCTCTCTGACTTGATCAATAATGTCAAGTTTGTGTGGATAGAAAACTTCACTCTGCCTCCTCAGCTTCAGGTAGGCCCTTTGGCTTGCCACAGAGCCTGTCTGAATGAGCCCCTGACCTCACTCACCGCTCAGCACAAACGGAAGCCCCTCTCCTGAAAGAGTGAGAGGGGGTGGAGAGGCAGCCTGGGTGCTGGAAGCAGGCAACCTTGACCCTGCTCATCTTCTGCCTCTCTTCCCAGCTGTCCTGTCAACGTCTGTTCCTGACAGATGAAGAGAAGCATCTGCTGGGGCAAGAAGGGGTGTCTCTGCCCTCTCACCTGCCCCTCACTAAGGTAAGAACTGTCCCCAAAAGGTGTTTCATCCCAGGAGCTCCATTCAACCTCCAAAGAGCCTGGTTTGCAGGGACAGTGGGGACTTAAGGGAGGCTAAGGGCCAGCCCTGCACATCCTGGGCATCTAGGCAGAAGAACGAGTACTCAAGAAGGTCAGGAGGAAAATTCGCAACAAGCAGTCAGCGCAGGACAGCCGTCGGCGGAAGAAAGAATACATAGGCGGGCTGGAGAGCAGGTGTGTCTGGGCACCGCCCCCTTCCTCATGTAGCCAGCATGTTAAGGGACCAGCTGCCAAGCGTGGTCTCCTTCTCTACACTTCCTAGAGTGGCAGCCTGTTCTGCACAGAATCAGGAACTACAGAGAAAAGTCCAGGAGCTGGAGAGGCAGAACACGTAAGTAGAAGCAGTGTCCAGAGGGAGGATGCGGCTACAGGCAAGCTGTTCTTGGGCTAACTCTTCATTCTTCTCCTAGTTCCTTGGTGGCACAGGTCCACCAGTTACAGATGCTCACTGCTCAGACCTCCAGCAGAGCTGCCCAGACCAGTACCTGTGTTCTGGTACATCAGGATGTTCTTTATCTCCCTCCACCCGCCCGCCACCATGCTCCACACTCCCACCTAAGACCCCCACTACCTAGCCCTATTTCCCAAACCCTGATAACTGTACTGACAATGTTGATGCAGTCTTCCTCCTCTGCTGTCCCCAACACCCATATGCCCCCTTGCTCCTTTCAGATTCTCCTTTTTTCGCTGGCTCTCATCATCCTGCCCAGCTTCAGCCCCTTCCAGGGCCAACCAGAAGGCAGACATAAGGCTTACCAGCCTCATGGAGGTAAGAAGCCAGGGCACAAAAGCTCCCCCCATTCTCTGAAACAATCCAACAGTAGGAATATTCTTGGTGAGTCTCCCACCTGCACAAATGCTGTACCACATTTTCTCCTCAGTGATTTCCAGAAATATCTTGACTCACAAGGACATGACAGAAAGCCCAGAGATTCCAGCGGTGAAGTCCCAACTGGAGGGACTGCCTGAAGTCCCAACTGCAAATGGCTCTACAAAGACACAGTTAAAGCTGGGGACGAGGAACAGACCCACTGGGCAGATCAGGGGAATGCTGCATGCAGATGAGATGTAAGCCTTTCCAATCACACAGAACCCAGAGGCTTCCCTGACCATTTCATCTGGAATTTCCATTTAGGCATCCAACCTTGGAGTTCTAACTCACTCAAGATCCCATAGATCCACAAAGGCCAAGTTTGCTTATATGGCAGGGCATCTCATATACTTCTGTCCTACATTTGTGATTTCTTCTTTGGGGATGAGATTAACGGGAACCAAGTTTTGACTCAGAAATAAACTTTCTAGCTAAAATTCAGTCCCAGGAAATTTTACCGCTTCAGACAAGTTCCTACTATAGAGACTAAACTGGTCTCAAACTGATTCCCTCCGAAGTCCTAGTACTACAAGTATGTATGTAGGATCACATTCAGCTTAGCTTTTTATTACTGTACACAAGTGTGATATGTAAGTATTGTTTTATGTATAATACTCGTGTGAAGCTCAAGGGCAACTTTTTTTTGATTTTTCAAGACAGGGTTGCTCTGTGTAGCTGTGGAACTCACTCTAACTCACAGAAATCCTGCCTCTGCCTCCCGAGTGCTGGGATTAAAGCTGTGCACCAGCATCTCCTGGCTCATGGCACCTTTTTAGCTTTCTTTCCTCTCACTATGCAGTCTAGGGATCAAACTCAAGTCATAAGGCCTATGAAGCAAACACTTCTTGAATTTGTTGTTTGGAGACAGGTTTCTCTGTGTAGCCCTGGTTGTCTTGGAACTTGCTCTGTACACCAGGCTGGCCTTGAACTCAAGAGGCCTCTGTCTCACAAGTGCCAGGACTAAAGAAGTGTGCCAACACTGCCCAAATGTCTATGTGTGTATCTACGTGCATACGTGTGTGGGTGTCCATAGAGGGCAATGGATCCCTGGAGCTGGCAGTTGTGAGCTCTGCCAGACACAGGTACTGGAACTGGACAAAATCCCCTGGAAAAGCAGCAAGTTCTCTTAACTGCGGAGCCATCTTTCCAGCCACTGCACCAAGCACTCTAACACCTAAGCCACTTTACCAGCCCAGAAATTTTAAATAAGAGTAAAAGATTAGAGACTGGGAAGATGACTCAGTGGTTAAGAACACTTGTTGTTCATGCAGAGGACCTGAGTTTGACCCCTAGTACTTACATGGCAACTCACAGCCATCTATAATTTCAGCTTAGGGGATCCAACATCCTCCTCTGATCTGAGGGTACCAGGCAGACACTCGGTGCATGAACATGCAGGGAAACCAGTCACACAAATAAAATACAAGATAAATAAATCTAAAAAAAATTTTAAGAGTAAAAGAAGGAAGAGAATTGTTACCTGCTAAATCGCCATTCCCTACCACCACGTGGCTCAAATTATTTTTTAAAAAAGACGTATTCACTTTGGGACTGAAGTGGTTCAGTGGTTAAGAGCACTTGTTGGACCAGTGTCCAATGCCCTGTGCCGTGTAGTAGCAAGGGACCTGGCATCCTCTCCTGCCCTCCAAGGGCACAGACAGGCAGAGTGCACAGACATACATGCAGTCTCTTATACACATGGGGAAATTTTTAAAAAGATTCATTCACTTTCCTGTGATCTGTCTATTTCTGTATGAGTTTGTGCACTGCTTGCCTGAAGGTACCCACAGAGGCTGGAGCGCATCACATCTCCTGATGTTAGAATTATAAGCGGATGCAAATCACCCGATTGGGATGCTAGCAACCAAATCCAGATCCTTTATGAGCAGCAAGTACTCATAAGCACTAAGCAAACTCACCAACCTCTTTAATTTTTTTGAGATGTAGTCTCACTATATATCCTTGGCTGGCTGGGAGCACCTTGTGTACAAAAGCTGGCCTTGAACTCAGAGATCTGCCTGTCACCCAGGTTTGGGATTCAAGGCCTGCACCACCACACCCAGTCCTCCCCACACCAAACTATCAGAGGGAAGGAAATTGTGTTACTCCTTTATTTCTTTTTTTGCTTTTTAAAGACAGTCTTGCTATGTAGCTCAGGCTAGCCTGCCTATAAATTTACCCAGGATCCTCCTGCCTCACTCTCTCAAGGGCTGCGGTTACAAGTGTGTGCCACCATGCCCAGCTCTACTTTACTTTTTATTGTGCTCATTAATGGTCTGGAATTCAGGGAAAGATGCTACTACCACAGGCGTACGAGTGCAAATTAGCCCACTGGTCCTTCTCCATCTGAGATACAGTCTGTAAGACCCAGCATAATACAGTGGAATTCGGCTATATGGACTCAATTTGCTTCCGGACTTTTTCAAGAGCCTTTCTGTCCAGCTGCCGCTGACGAAGGATGACAAGGCAAGCGAAGACCAAAGCCACACCCACCATGGTGCCTTCAAACTTCCAGAACAGGCGCTGCTCCATCAGAGCTGACCGGCAGCTGAGGGCAGAAGGAGTAGAGTTATTCACAGAAGCAGCCAGTCTCTCTTAGCTACTGTCCTCTACTTCAGCCTACCCAAGACGCTATCTAAACAGAGTCAGTCACGCTTTAGTCTCTGATGAGATAAGCAAAGTGGCATTAACCAATTTGATTACTAAAATAAAACAAATAAAGTCAGGTGTGGTGGCGCACCTTTAATCCCAGCACCCCTGAAGCAGAGGCAGGGGGATCTCTGTGAGTTCAAGGTCAGCCTGGTCAACAGAGCAAGCTGAGTTCCAGGACAGCCAAGACTGTTTACATAGAGCAACCCTGTCTTGAACCCACCCCCCAACTCAAAAAGCCTACGTTTTTGTTAGGCTATGTGTGTGCACACTCGTGAAAAGGAGAGGTTGCCAGCCTCTCCCCATCCCATAAGACAGACACAGTCAGAAAACACCTTGCTGAAGTGAGTTCTGTACCTCTACCATCTGGGTTCTGAGTATCAAACTCAAATTGTTGTTTTTTAAACATTTATTTTATATCTGACTGCTTTCTTGTATGTATGTATATGTACCATGTGTGTACCTGGTGCCCAACAAGGCCAGAAGATGGTGCTAGATACCCTGGAACAGGAGTACAGACCAACTATGTGGGTGTTGGGAACTGAGTCAGGTCCTCTGCAAGAGCAACAGTGTTTCTAACCTGAGTCACCTCTCCAGTCCCTCACGTTCTCAGATTTGGCAGGAAGTTCCTTTACCTACCAAGACATCTAATTTGTCTCTCTTAGAGATCTGCTTGCCTCTGCTTTCTAAATGCTGGGATCAAAGACGTGTGTCATTATATCTGGCTTAACTATTTATTTAACAATCACTATGCAGCCTTGGCTGACTTGAGCTCCCTATGTAGATCAAGCTGTCTTGAACTCACAGAGCTAAGCCTGTCTCCTGAGTGCTGGAATTCCCCATCTCCTTGAACCTTTATTTTCCTTTTAAGCAACGGGGGGGATTAGACTCATGGCCTCATACATACTAGGCAAGTACTCTACCAATGAGCTATATTCTCCACCTGGCCAAATTATTTGATCAAAAACATAACTAATGATATAGAGCTGAAGACTAGGGCTAGGAGTGAGGAGTAATTTGGCTCAAATCCCCTCCTCTTTCCTGTATGTCAAACTGCATCGCAGCCAGCCAGGAGAGGGCTACTACCTATGATAAGGGGATCAGGTCACTTCAAAGCAGAGAAGCGGTCCTTACCTTTTGAATTCGTTCCTTTTAGAGGAGTGGCATGTGATTTTCTCCACATAGCCTGTAGAACCACACTCAGGCATAGTTTTCTACCAAAGGAAAAGTCCAAAAGCATACATTAGGGAGGAGGAGTTGAAGAAACAGAAGACCTGATGTTCAAAAAGGGCCAGAGGTGGTGGGCAGCAGACAGCTAATGGAGAGCCCTGATGTGGATGGTGGTGACATGATTAGGAAGGCAACAATCTAGGAGTAAGCAAAGATTCCTGTCTACTGTATTACACACAACTTTAATCCTAGGAGGCAGAGACAGGTGGATCTCTGTGAGTTCGAGGCCAGCCTGGTCTACAGAGTTCCAGGACATCTAAGGCTACACAGTGAAATCCTGTTCAAAAAACAAAAACAAATACTTGGGGACTGGAGAAATGGCCCAGTGTCTAATAGCACTGGCTGCTCTTCCAGAGGACCGGGGTTCATTTCCCAACATCCACATGGCAGCTCACAACTGTCTGTAACTTCGGTACCAGAGGATCCGACACCCTCACACAGACATACATGCAGGCAGAATACCAATGCACACAACACAAAATAAGCAAAAAACTCACAATCTGGAAGTTAGAACACGGAGTACACTCTTCAGTCACCACAAACTCTTCCACCAGCCAACATGGAGAAGTTGAGGTGCTCACTAAAAGGAGAGAGAGAAAAATGGCCAGCCGAAGACTATTCAAAAACATTTCTCTCAAAGGCTCTACCCCATCCAGCTTCCCAGCACAGCGCTTGCCCTCATTTCATGTGGCGCTTCCTTTTCTATCTGTGCTCTTGCTACACTAAAAAAAAGAAGACATTCAAAATAAAAACAAACTAGAGAGGTACGGGGTTCCCGGGCAATCACACACCTGACAACTTCTCCTCGCGCACGGGAGCCTCTGCTTCACTGCAGATGGGGAAAGGGGGTGAGAACAACGGTGAGAAAGCAGAACACAGGGCACACCCACTTACGTGGCTGAGCAGTCCGGGTTCATGGGGGCGAGGACCATTGAGTTCGCCTGCGCGCCCCCTTTTCCTCCCTCGGTACCCACTTACCAGAGCTTTAAGGTGAAAGCACACAGCAACCAGCAGATGTAGCCGCCCCGGGGGAGGCCACGCCTCCCCTCACCCACAAGCATGGAGCAGTCAGTGTCGCACCTGTTGCAGCAGACCTCCCTGAGGTTCCAGCTCAGAGCAGCTCTGTGCCAGAGTTCTCTCCCTGGGCCAACTAAGGCTCTATTGGAACGACCTCGCGACCACAGCGAGAATAATCCATGGGGATTTGTTGGCGGGAAGCGCGAGGTCTTTGTGGGGGCGCAAGGCAGGAGGAAGGGCGCGCGGGTCCCGACTCAGTGCCGGCGCCCCTCGGCCCGGGTCTCGGGAGCGGCCATCTTGCTCGCGGAGGCTGCTGGTCCCGCACTAGCGACGCCAACTCGTCCGGCGAGCTGTCTACTGTCTCCTGCTGGGGCTTGTAGTGGTTCCGGACTCGGGCCGCTGGATCTCATTGCGTTTGCGCAGCAACACGCGACTCATTAGCTGGCGCCGCGCGGCATTGTGGTCCTTGTAGTATTTGCCCAGCCGATTGGAAAGGCGGTTAGGGAGATTTTGTTCTCGCTTCGTTTCTCCCTGGTGTCGCCTGT